GTTGCTTTTGTGAAGCAACATCAGTTGCGTGCACCTTGGGTTTTAAGTTATCTAAATTCAAGAGTTGTGAGTCAATGGAACCTCAAAATATATACGGTTGACCTGTGCGGCATGTACGGTACACATGTGCTACATGTGCGGTACACATGTGCGGCAAGTATGTGCGGTCTGTGTAGTATGTACATGCGGCCTGTGCGGTATGGGTGTGCGGTCTATACAGTATGCCTGCGCGGTCTGCACGGTATGCATGTACAATATGTATGTGCGGTATATGCGGTATGCATGTACAGCACCGCATAATAGACTCTGTTAGTGCATGAAGAGTGTATGATTCGACGCACTCCCAAACAACATGTTTTTCGTCACGGGTGACCAATCGGTCAGGTCAGTGGCTGTGAATTGCCTGTTGCAAATCACGCGATTCCTGAGCCTTTGGGTTTTCCTGGCCCATCACTTGTTGCCGTGAACCAGGTATTTCACAAGTTCACTAACATTCTCCTCCGCCTCACTCTCACTTGTGGTGCGGTATTGAAGCTCTAACATCATCGCGAGAAACACGGCCAGCGCAGCCGTTGATGTAAACCTCATGCGGTGCAGGGTGTATCTTTTGTGCATTAAACAACAGAATTAATCTTTTGTAGTTAACATAACTCATTTGCGCAAGTGTTAAAATTAGGCCAGGAGCATGTTGCCCGCCAAATCGCTCATTTGTGTCTCGGACAAGTCTTTCACAAAGGTCACCGGCAACAGCAACCCTTGAGCATGGAGTGCCTCCCTTCCTGAGCTAAAAGAAAAAACATGAGGAAGGACCTTTTGATGACTCATGACTCAGGCCAAAATTCCCAGCCAAAGTCTGTTCCGCTTCAGATCCATCAGCTTTGTGCTCGGAAGCAATGTCGGAATCTGCACAAAGCATAAAGGGTGGTTGCCAAAGGACAAATATGCGTTACTGACATGAGAAGAACATGCATATAACTTATAACATATGGTTGGTGGCTTGAAGTTTAGTAAGTGTCCGTCTCCGAAGATGAAGGTGTGCGAGTAGCTGACTGGTAGAGATCACCAAAACGGATCGGGTTTTGCTTGTTCTCCACTTGAGTCTGCATCTGGTTCAGCAAGAAGAGGTGATTCTGCAAAGAATCACTCAGAGCAAAACAAACAAGTAACAACAAGTGGTAAAGACAATCAAATCGAGAAGGAAAGAACAAAACAAAACAAAGAAAAGAAACGGTTCATTCCAACTGCACACATCATAATACTACAGATCCTCGCGTTCACGGTCAGAGAGGGACTGGAACCATTGATTCTTCATCAAGTTGGCAGGTGGTTTCAATGGCCACCCAATTCCACCTTGGCCATAGCATATTAGTTCTTTGTACCAGTGATCAAACTGCAAAAAAAAACACAAAACATGCTAGTAACTAGTTATGACTTGATATGATTCAATAGTGTTGTAAGTTGTAAGTTGTGAGTCATGAGTCATGAGTTACAATTGAGAACCCAAGGGACGCTTTTCCGCCAGGTCCATGTGAAGGGTTGTCCATTTACTCGAAGCAGGTCCAAGTTCATCGTCGTTGGAAGACTTCTTGGCCTTCTTTTTGTCTGGTTTCTCGGTTGTATTCTCTTCCATGAGTTTCGCATCTGCTTTCTGTCGAACTGTCAACCGACGCTCCAGCTCCAATTGAACAAGCGGGTGTGAGTCTGGCAGCATGAAGTCTTCCTTAGCCAAAGATTCCAGTTCCGTGTTGTCTCTGTACAGCTATTTAATTTAGTTAATTTACTTGTAGCTCGAAGATTCGAAGATGTAAGTCTAAGTTAAAAATTGAACGTAACAAAAACGACACAAAAAATGAGAGAACTAGCAGAGTATCTGGCTTTTGGCACTTCAACTTGAATAAGGTGAGCAACTGTTCCACTCGCCCAAAGCTAGCATCAGGCTGACGCTCACGGCAGAAGCCACAAAAAAAGAGACGAACGCGCCGTTGGGGTACACCATAGTCGGATGAAGCAATCACAAACGTTTGAACGTTGTAGTTGCTCTCGACCAAGCACCTGGAAATCACCTCATAATTGGATTCATGGTCAGCAGTATCTTCACACATGTCCACGTTCTCCAGAAAGAAGAACTCTGGGCGGAAAGTACGGATTGCAGCAACCGTGGCTTTGAATGTGGCCACAGTTGATGCTTCCTTTCAGGTATATGTCGTTTACGTTCAAGAAACCTTTGTACATTCCCAATGCACATTCTAATTCTGATATTCTTACATATATAAACAACAAAAACAATGGTACCAATAGGATGGTCCTCCATGTCTTCGCTCAAAGCTTTCATAAGTGCTTTGTAGTCGTTGTTGAGCTTGCTGAGGCTTTTGCATGAGAAGCCCCCATTGAATCCCCACAAAGAAGTTGGCAGGTCCTTAGATATTGAAACGTCAAGAAAACACTTGTTACTTGAGTATTGAATGTTGAACACATTTAGGTAGGACATTGAAACTAAACACTTGACCAACATAAACTTCTTGGGATTGCAAAAAAGATCTGCTTGGGCCTTCAGGCTGGTTTCGCATGATTCCCGATGCCGCACGCACGACCTTTCATCTCCAAACACTTTGGTAGCGTCTGCAAAAATGCAAGTGTGATTCTGCGACTCATCCACATGCGCAACAGCGTCCAAGGTGTTGATGAGATTCTGTTGCTTCCAAGGGATCCATTCAGCCATGAAGTCATGTTGCACCTTGAAGGAAGTATGATAAAAGATGATGTAAAGATCTTAAATCTTAATGTATTAGTATCGAATCTTGAATCTTGAATATATATATATATACACTTGATGGTTGGTACATAGTGGTAGGAAGTAATCGAAACTAGAACCTTTGAAGAACCCATCTGTAGGTTTCTTTCACATCCCTGCCTCTAGTTCCCGTGCTTCAGATGGAAATGCCCTGTGTATTGCAATGAAAGCTGCTTGCGTCAAATGCCAAAACGTCCCTGCTCCACTGAAAAAGTCTCCCACATTGAGTTGTCTTGGAAGAGCACGTATCTTCTCCTTGATATCGAGGAAGGGCACTGCAGCAGCCCGTTTAATCATGATCTGCAGGCAAAGAACAGTCTATGGGAAAATAAACATTGCAATTGCAACTTGCAACATACACGCAATATACTTAGTAGACAAAGCCTCTAACTCTAAGCCTCTAAGCCTAAGCGACGGGAAGCACAGGCAGCAACCTGGCCTCAGCCGCTGAATCGAGCAAAGCGTTAATATTTGGGTGATCTTTGGACGGTGGTCTTGGGAAGACATAGTTCCTTGTATCATCACCACATTCATATGCCACATCCTCCTCCTGCTGTTCTTCTTCCTCCCCTTCATCACCTTCATCATCATTAACATCTTCCTCCTTAACACCGATGGTAGTATCATCACACGTGGACGGGTCATTGGCTTTTGCTGCAGCTGCTGCTGCTGGTGTATCATCTTCTCCCTGTGTCTGAGTCTGAGCCGTTGATTGCTCTGATGCTTCTCCTGCTGGCTGAGTTGGTGCTGTTGCTTGTGTTTGCTGGTCATTTGATGGAGCTGCTGCTACAAACTCTGCTGGCTGAGTTGGTGCTGTGTTGTGTTGCGCTACTGCTGATCCTCCATTCACCGGTGCCGCAACTCCATTCTCCGGTGCCGCAGCTGCAGCATTCTCTGGTGCCTCTGGTTCTGCAAACTCTGCTGGCTGAGCTGGCGCT